TCAGATAACTAATGGAAAGGTTCAACTAAAAGCTTCTGGTGGAAAAGCTGAGGCATTTGCTTTAATCATTGATGGGAAATCACTTGCTTATGCATTGGAGGATGATATGAAATACATCTTTCTTGAGCTGGCTACTGGTTGTGCCTCAGTAATTTGTTGCCGTTCATCACCAAAACAGAAAGCATTGGTCAGTTTTTGCTTTATCTTTCATATACTTAGTGGCCTCCTAGCATTTTCCTGAAGATCTATTCATATTGCATTAGGTGACAAGACTAGTCAAAACTGGAAGCGGTCAGACGACGCTGGCAATTGGAGATGGCGCAAATGATGTTGGAATGCTTCAAGAAGCAGATATAGGAGTTGGGATCAGTGGAGTGGAAGGCATGCAGGTTATTTTAAAAAATCTCAGAACAAACCATTTCCAGTTTTTTTGCTGGAAACTTTGTTTAATCCTGTTAATTTTGCAGGCTGTAATGTCCAGCGACATTGCCATTGCTCAATTTAGATATCTGGAGCGCTTGTTACTCGTCCATGGACACTGGTGTTACAGGAGAATCTCGAAAATGGTAGTTGAATCTGCAAGTTTTGGTTAACACTGACCCTTGGTCTCATTATTTTAACACTCGTGTTCTCTCATATGCAGATTTGCTACTTCTTCTACAAGAATATCACATTTGGTTTCACTCTCTTCTTATATGAGGCGTACACATCTTTCTCTACTACACCTGCTTACAATGACTGGTATCTATCTCTCTATAGCGTCCTCTTCTCGTCTCTTCCTGTCATTTGTTTGGGAATCTTCGACCAGGATGTATCTGCACTGTTTTGTCTCAAGGTATATAAAATAATCATTCTAATCAAAAGACCTGCTTAATCTTTTCTCCAGTATAGTGAGTTTTCTTAACTCAAACTTTTGCTTTGTTTGCTGTAACAGTTCCCTGTATTGTACCAAGAAGGTGTACAAAACCTCCTCTTTAGTTGGCGCCGGATACTCAGTTGGATGTTCCATGGCTTCTGCAGCGCAATAATCATTTTCTTCCTCTGCAAAACCTCTCTTGAATCTCAAGCTTTCAACCACGAAGGGAAACCCGCAGGGAGAGATATTTTTGGAGGAACAATGTACACGTGTGTGGTGTGGGTTGTGAGTTTGCAGATGGTACTGACAATCAGTTACTTCACAGTGGTTCAGCATCTCGTAGTTTGGGGATCAGTGGTTGTATGGTACCTTTTCCTGATGGTGTATGGATCACTGCCGCCAAGGGTGTCTACAGATGCCCATATGGTCTTTCTTGAAGCTCTTGCGCCTTCGCCTGCTTACTGGATCACTACTCTCTTTGTGGTGATGTCCACGATGATGCCTTACTTCATCTTCTCTGCCGTTCAGATGCAGTTTTTTCCAATGTCTCATGGGACCATAAAGCTGCTAAAGTACGAGGATCAGTGCAATGACCCTGTGGAGTTAGAGTTGGTGAGACAGGCATCAGTAAGGCCTGCATTGGTTGGTTTTACAGCTAGGATAGAGGCCATAAAGAGATCAGTCATGAGATCTCATCAACCTGGACCTTGACAAGTGATATGATTCCCGCAGTTTTTTTTTTGGGTTTTAGTTACTTTGCAGGATGTAAATAAAATCAAAGGAACTGCAAAATCGAGGGGAAAGTGTTAGATCATTGCAAGATGTAGAGAACAGGGTCTTTTTTTTTTACTGGTTTGTGTAGCATAAAAGGTGCATATTCTGATTATTGCAGCCTTGACTGGAAAAAAAAAAAGAATTCTACAAAGTTAGCATGTCAAGAAACATCTAACTATATTGGGAAACATTGGAAGATTGTACATGAGTTAAGATAAAGACTAAAGAAAGATTTTACAATATTACAGCCTTCTCTTACCATTCGAGATGGAAGTTTGTATCTGTCTCCTTGAGCTTCCTTTTCTGGAATCTTGTTGAATAAAATAACATGAATACCATAAGCAAAGAAGTTAATAGAGACACCACCTTATGTTAATGACCTTGGCTGATGCTACTGATCCCACGACAGTCATTTTAGATCATGTTCATGTATATAGTCTTATGCTGCTCTATATGGAAGGTTATTTTTGATGACTCATGGCATGTGTTTGCCTGATCTCAGAAGTCTTAAGATAATTTCGTATTGGAACTGAAACATCTGTTCACCCATTTGTCTATATGTCTTGTTGAGTTGTGACTTGACTAAAGTAAATTGTGGTTTTGTTTGGACCTAGCAAGCTTCTGAATTCTTGTTTGGTTATATATGGAGAGAAGGAAGAATTATGAATTGTAGAATGTTTAAAATGAGTCTTTAACTGAACAGAAACATTTGTCCTCCGCTCTTTTGATTGATCTTTTCTTTAATCTCTCTATAGGAATCACAAAACAGCATGAAACAGCAGCTTAGTTTCGCTTTCACCTTTGTTATATGAAAATGTTTAAAACTCTTTGGTTTGGCGAGGCTAATCCAAAAGTTGTATTATTTCTGTTTCATCGAAGGGCTCCCTTTGCCTGAGAAAAGTTACATACTTGATTGATCCAAGAGTAGAAGTCTAAATTACATTATTCTTAACCATAAACAAGTAGAAGTGAAAGTAAACAGTGCCAATAGCACTTACCACTAGTCATAACTGAAGGAACAACCAACCAACCAGTGAGTGATAAATCAATGGACCAACTACTATTGTTACAAAGAAAAAGATTATCAACATGATCCAAGAATGTTCAACATGAAGATGAATCTCTTTTATTATATAGGTAGGTAGGATACAAGCTTGGAACTGTTCAAGGTTGTGAAAACCATATTATATCATCCATTAGCTGCGATCACACTATACATCACATTAGAAGGAAATGATCCATGAGATGGTATTCAGACAATACCTAGTGGTTCGCTATTTGTATAGAGATTCAAGTATGCTTTTGCAGGCCTAAACCACCGTATAGGTACTGGAGAGGCATATGATTTGATAAGTAAACAATTTGTAGATGATGTAATATTTACGGCATATTTGCTAGTTGTAGATGTAGAGTTGTATAATGATTTGGTTATTAAATGGAGTTTTACCAGTGGTAAATGTATATAATTAGATAACAATGTAGATTCTTGCAAACCAATGAAAATATATTAGCTTCATATGATAATTCGGTTAAACACAGTTTTCAGTTTAGATTGATTATGTAAAAAAAAAGGCTCTATCAATCCATAATAAATTTTGTCGAAAATCTAGTGCAAAAGCATAGGATTGGATTGACACATGTTTACAATTGCATTGAGGAGTAAAGTTAATCCATATCAAAGATTCTTCGTCATTCTTGCTATAGTTTTTGATAATTTTTACCAAACTTTTTTTTCCTCAATCTACACCTCAAGAGTTTTGTATTAGCTAGTAGTGCTCACTTTTTTTTTGTTGTGGCAAAACTATACACTAAGATAACATGTAGATCAAATGTTTATATTTACGCATCAATGAACATCTATATGCATAATCCCTACCATTACCACATTCAGAGAACAAATTATCAGTTTTAATATGTTATGTTCAACTTGTTATAGGTCTGGTTGCTAAACATATTGATTTGTAGTTATGAAAACTCTGGTAATCATCAATAATAGTAACAACGACACATACTTTTATTATTGCAATCACATCTTCTTCCTTTAAATATTCTTGTCTTATCTCTTTTGTTTTGCAGCAAGACTCTGATGGAAACAATAATTTAAACAACTTGGAAACAAATAACATGATAAAAAAAAACTAAGAAGAATTTATAGAATTTTGAATGATACATTTTTAGTACAAGTTTCTTTATTTTTCAGTCAACTTGCAATTTACTCTAGAACAAGGCCATGGTTATTTTAGAAGTTTGAGAGTTCTTAATATTTGATTATATGTCATGCTGATTTATTTTTTTCCCACAGTGTTGTTTATTCAATTTTGTGGTGAGAGTTCAACTCTGACATTTTTCATGGCAAACAATGCATGTATGCGTCTTGCTATAGCCACAACCATCAAACGTCTATCAAACATAATCCAATATTTAATATGTTTAGTCATTAACTAAATAGTTAGGGAGATCATTTGTTATTATGCAAAGCAATTGGTAATATCATTTATAAGTATATATTTGATTATCTAATATGCATGATGCTTACTTAAATGTTCTTGATGTATAGCAACGCTTAATGCATCGTATCAATCCTTGTAATTATCAGTAAAATCTGAGGTAGGGAGAGAGGGAGATCAAACATCCAAAGAAAACTATGTGGTTATATTATAATGTTGAATAATAGAAATTTAAACTCAAACTCATATTTACCCATTCAACATTTTCTTTAGCAAACTTCTATTTGCATATCAACTTGCCGGAACGAGTAAAAGATATTTTTAACTTTTAGTTGTCAATATATAAAGTCAATTGAAAATATAGGGAAATTAAAGGAGAGGTGAGAGCAAAAATCTTCAGCCAATTAGCCTCTAAAACAAATGAAGAAACACATAGGGTGTGACTAGAAATTTAGAATAAATAACAGAGAGATAAATAAGAGGGAAAAGTGAAAGAAAGAGTAAAGTAGCAAAAATAATATTTATTCTTGTTTAAATTAGAGTAAAATTGTATATCATTATACTTGATTGGCTAAAAGTAGAGTAATATTATCACAGTGAAAGTATCATTTTATTATAAAATTACTTAAAATCTTTTTACTTCTTTTTCCATTAAAATATCTTCACTTCCACTTTATTTTATATCTTATTTTACTTATTTTTCTTGCATAAAAATATTTTTAATTCCACTTTATTTTTTATTCTATGATAGAGTAGTGCTCAGAGTAAAATACAATTCTATCATAGTTTACTCATTTAAAAAAAAAAAAAAAAAGAAAGTTATAGATGGCGTAGTAAGTCTTTTGTGTACTTATCTAAGCTCTTGAAATTATGCTTTTTGTTACTGTTACTCGGCTCTTTTATTGTCATTTTCTGTCATCTTCCAAGTTTCTTTTTTACAACGAGTATGTGATATGTAGTTTTCAATTGGGGTTTGTGAGTACATTTGGAACACTAATAACCCTGCTCTATTTTCGTCGAAAAATGTATATCTGAATTCAGATTCATCTTCACCATAATGATTACTTAACTAGAAACCAAAAGGTAAACTAAAACCGAGGCCTTTGTGTTTGCTGCACTAGCACAACAAATTTGAAAACTTCATCACAAGCTTGTACCTAATACTTAATGAGAAGGCGTAGGAGTTGCTCTGCAGTTAGAAGCTATCTCTGTCTTAACTGCTGTTGATAGTTGAGGGAGATAGAAGCTCAGATGAAAACTGGATTACAATCTCTGTATGTTTGTCAATTGACATTTTCTCCTCCCGTTGATCTCAGCTGCCCAGCTCTTCCCAATCTCGGTTTGAAACTTGCCTGCATTTGACATTGGAGCAAAAGTGGGTATTTTGATGAACCCAAATGATTTTGACTTAAGGTCTAAAACTGTAAAGTGAAAAGATCATATGAGATGTGTTCTCTACCTGCTGTTGATATGAAGAACTCGTCCAGCACTTTCCCATGTTCTGCCACAATGTTTAAACGTCTGAGTCAGATTTCTTGGGATGTAAAAGGGATAACAAGCACAAATTGACTACAAAGATAAAGGTTGAGACTTACCTGATTCATATTCTAGTGCCTGAAGAATCATCTCAACCTTGGAGCCGCAATAAAGATAAGAGTTAGTGTAACTATTTACAGCTAACAGGAATTAAAACTCATCGATGGTTGCAAACTCAAAATCCATAACTACCTTATCAAAGTCTTTTACAAGATTTGCCTCTAAAGAAGCGTTGTTCTCATACTCCAGCCAAAGTTCTGTGATCTCCTCAGCTGCACATTGGCATTTGACTTACGAATTAGTGCTTTGGAAACCAAAAACATTAGTAGATGACACGAGAAGAGCCGTATATTATTACCTCTCAGGCCTCCACCAAGAACTTTGCACATCTCCTTTAAAGCCGCTTTCTCTCTTCTACTCTTTTCTTCCTTTGGCACACCATCCGATGGGGTAATATCTCCAACAATAGCTGTTCAGAAGCCAGTAAGAGACAAGATCAGGTCTCATAGTGAAAAGAAAAGAAAAGAAAAGAAAAGGAAAGAAACTGAACTTTACATTCGTAAACAAGGATAAAATGTGTATATACCTTCAGCGATGTCATGCACAATTGCCATTTTAATACACCTGTTCAAGATTCCAAGAGAAAAAAAAGAGGAAGATGGAGAAAGAACCAATAAGGTATAGCCACAAAAACAGGGGAATTCAATTTTCTATAGCTGAAGCTAAAATCACACCCAAAAATCAGTTGTTAACAGATGTTCTCCCACTCTTACCCTTCACTCAACTCTCTGAACGTGTTTGATTCAAATGACATATTTAAAAGCATACCTAAATCATGAACCATGATAAATCAACTTAAGACTAAAAAAATTAGTTTTAGAGCACATCTTTTGTAATTATGACTTCGACAACTTCAAAACATTAGCTGCTCACATTCTTTTATTTAACTCCCAAACATTTTCACACCAAACCCTGAGTTCCACAAACATGCAATTTCACTAAAGTCCACAACAAGTACAAGACACTACCACCCTCACAAAACACTTTCTTAGCTTCTCCTTACTACACACACTGTGATACACATATACCACCCCTAACTGAGCTCTACATGTATTTTATTACAAACTTAGACAAATATTATGTATACACACCAGAATGTATTGGTAAACAATCTACACTATCCTTTCCCTTCCTTCTCAAAAAAACTTGAGGAGGGATGCAAAAGACTAACCTTTCTCTGTTAACACCAGGAAGATCAGCAGCAATGAGAGCCATGAGAGACATACGGTACATGTGATCAGCAATTGATTCAGGTCCATTAATCCCCTGATTGATCCACCCTTTCCTCTTTGTTGTCTACACATGTTTTAACATCATAACTATTCACAACTCCAAATCTCTAAAATTTGAAAAGCCGATAACACACAGTTTTACTCTCAAAAATTGAAAAGCCGATATGGTGTTTCTCAGCACGTACCTTGAGCCGATGGCACAACGTTAAGAAATCGATCGACGACGAAACGGAAGAGGCATGATTCGTTGATTCCATTGAACTAACCCCGTCGGAAACAGGTTTCTGGCACCGGACGGCGACGATCGGAGTTGGATTTCTGAGGAAGAGGAAATTACTAGAGGTGGAAGCGAGTGTTGATCGGTGGTTAAATGGCCGGTTCAGCGGCGGCGTGATACGTGTAGCTGGACTGATTATCGCCATTGATGATGGGAAGAATCTACGGGGGGGGGGG